CCCATGCTCTGTTAGGAAGAGAATTAGAACTTCCTGAATGCTAGGCAAGTACTCTACCAACCGAGCTACATCCCATTGGGTTAATTTTCTATCTGCTCCTTCAAATCCACTTTCTATCCTCATGTGCTCTGCCCTGGGCCCCAGAAGGATGGTTTTCAGACTGTATCGTCGGGGAAAGATCAGAAGGCAGCCTGTCAGAAGGCTCAGCTTATTGTTCCTTGTATCTCCTGCCTGCCGTGTGCCTGCCAGTTCTTTCTGGGTTCTGCTATCTGGTCAGCTCAGGTCTACACATGAGAATGGCATTGAGCTGTTGCCAGCACAAGACACAGCTGCAGCATCCTTCATGGACTACCCCCTCAGTGGTATCTACACCTTAGTAAACAGACAGGCCCTTTATTAAAGTCTCTCTCTGCTTTCTCACTTGCTCCTTCTGTTTCCTCCAGACACCCTGATTGATCCAATCAATAAGCATCATCTTACCTGCTACAGGCGTTCCAGGAGGCACCTCCAGCCACAACAGAGTTCAGAGGAAGCAAAGGAGATAATTCCTTTATGCTGTCTTTGCAAGAAGCAGGAAATCTCTGCCAAACGGCTCGCACTCTGCTGTTCCCCTTGACTACCATTGGTAATGAGTCACACACTCTCTCAGATCCCTAGGAAAAAAGAGTGGGAGACTAAGGGGCATGTGGGTGTTCTACTGGGAAGTGTGATCCTAGGAATGAGGGGTGAAAAAGGAGCAAGCAGGACGGCAGGAGACATGGCATAAGGATTTTGATTGACTCCATGCCAAGTGACCCTGGGCTTCTGAGAGGCCATGAGAAATGCCTTTGATGACTTATCCTGAGGAAACAAGGAGAAAGCAACTATCTGTGACTTTCATCCCACACTGAGCAAAGATGCACTCCAAGAAGCACTGACACTCTCTGCTTCCTAGGTGGGCTACGGCAGGTCTGCGATGCAGCACTAATAGATCCTGCCTGTACTGTGCCACACTGACACCTGTTCTCAGTGGGGACTGAGGAGAGTAGCTGCTGCAGAAATGGTGGGCATATGAGTTAGGAGTAGCTGGAAGGATCTAAAGAGACATGTCCAATGCTAAAACAGTCTATAGATGCCTCTGAAATCCTTGTCACATTCTCCTGGGTCACCTCTGGCTTTGGCTTTGACTATAATAGACTGCTGAATGAGTTTAATTCTTCTTGTACCAGTAATGTCTTGCCTTGTGTCTATTTGCTTTCTGCCCTAGACTTCTCTGATATGCTAGACAAGTAGTTCTCAACCTTACTAATGCTATGACTCTTTAATACAGTTCCTAATGTTGTAATGACCCCCCCACACACCATAAAATTACTTTCATTGCTATTTCATAACTGGAATTTTGCTAATGTTGTGAATCATACTGTAAGTATTCTTGGAGACAGAGGGTTGCCAAAGGGGTTGCAACCCATAGGTTGAGAATCATTGCACTAGAGACTTTTGATTCTAGTATAAACAGTCCTGAAGTGCAGGCTTGATGTCCCAGGAGAAGTCTCAACCAATGGAAACAATAATTGGTCAATATAAATCCAACATTTAGTACTTTAAGTGGCTAATCCTGAGAGAGACGCACATGCGCACGCGCACGCACTGAGGATTGAACCCAGGGCCTTATACACACCACACAAGTGCTATATCACTTAACTAAACCCTCGGGCCTCTGAGCAATTCTGAAATGGAATTTCCAAAGTCCACAGTAATGAACTCAGGCATAGTTCCCAGAGGCTTACTTATTCTAATTCCTCCCTCATCCTATCCACTTACTCATGTTCCTTATAGACTCACACCAAGAATAAATGTCTACACACAAGTCTTATCTAAGACTATATTTTCAGAGGAAAACATAATAAATTCTAAGAGTCACAGCTGAAGATAAATCTCCAAGGTAAGAGGCTGGAAGACATCAGTTACTGGTCAGTTATCCCTAAAAGTGCTGCTGCTGCTGCTGCTGCTGCTGCTGCTGCTGGTGAACAAGAAGCTGACCAACCTTGGCCTGGCAGTGACATCAAAGTGACAAAGAGTCCTACCTGTAGTTGACTAAGATGAGTACAAATAGAAAAGGAGATGCTGGGGCGTGCAGTCTCTAGAAGAGTAGTGAAGAATCTGTAGGATCATAGGGATGATGGACCTGCTTTGGAAGCCCAAGAGGAAGAAAAAATGGAGGGGTCAAATACCCAGCTATCAATTTAGGACACACAGTGAAAGCCAGAAGGCCCTTCAGAGCCACAGTTCAAGGAGACTGTCATCTTCTGCAATGGTAGAGCAGTTTGTGCTGAAAATAAGACCCAGAATCTAATTGTAACAGTTGCTGAGGTACAAAAGAGACAGTATGTACAGCCTCAGCAGATCTTTGATTCTTTGGTGGTAAGGAATGGAACCCTAAAGCCTGGGAGGGGACATCTGGATGAATTTGAAAACAAATCCCCCTAACTCCTTGAACACTCCAGACCAGCAGATACAGCTATTCCCCTGTCACTTTTTTTTTAAAATAGGAGAGCATCTTTCCCTTGTTTGGAAATCATGATGGGATTCATCTGAGATTGTGCCTTGCAAGAGCACAGTTATCATTTGTAGACATGGCCCCTGCACCAGCATTCCCCTTTCATGGAGAAAATAATGGGGGCATGTATAAGAATTAACTTCAGAGTGCTAGGACATGGCACAAATATAAAATTGAAAGGGAAGAGTTTCTTGGAAGAAATACTCCTACTACATGGGATAGAACAACCTGGAAGGTTACCTGGAGCCAGTGCTAAAATAGTTCTGGGATGGCTCCAGGAAGTGGCCTACAGTAATAATACACCTTGGCTAGTACTCCTTGGCAGAATTTGGGTATCCCTACATGGCTGTTAGGTTGTATACATAAATTCACCACTAAATTTTTTTTTTAAATATTTATTTATTGTGTATACAGTATTCTGTCTGCATGCCAGCAGAGGGCACCAGATCTCATTAAAGATGGTTGTGAGCCACCATGTGGTTGCTGGGAATTGAACTCAGGGCCTCTGGAAGAACAGTCAGTGTTCTTAAACTCTGAGCCATCTCTCCAGCCCTACCACTAAATTTTTTAACTTTGTGGTAAAATGTACATAACATAAAATTGGCCATTTTAACTCTATGTATGTGTTGCTGAGGACTGAACCCAGGGCCTTGAAGACACCAAGAAAGCATTCTACCACTATGATACACTCATACTCCCTTACCCACATCTAAGTGTCAATCAAATTCAGCAGTATTAAGTTCATGCACAGTGTCGCTCAAGCAACATTAACATCTATCTACTTCTAGACGTTCTCTCCCACTGCATACGTGGAAACTCTGGACCCATTCAGCAATAACTCCCCACTGATCCTTTCCACTGGCCTTCTGGTACTTGGCAGAGTGCTGAGAAAGGAGTCAGAGGACTAGAGTGGAAATTACCATGTGAGGCTAAAGCACAGACCAGTCAGTCCTCCAGGGAAGCTCAGAAAGCACCTGTCCTGGTTTCTCATTGCTATTGAGACACCAGGACCAAGGCAACTTAGAAAAGGAAGTGTTTTGTTTGGACATATGGTTTCAGAGGTTTAGAGTCCATGATGGTGGAGCAAAGGTGTGGTAGCAGAAACAGCTATAGGCTTACAACCTGATCTACAAGTGGAAGCAGAGGGAGCTAACTGGGAACTGAGGCATGGGTTTTTGAAACTTCAAAACCACCTCCAGTGACACACTTCCTAATCTTTCCAAAAAAGGTCTGAGCCTATGGGGGACATTCTCATTCAGACCACAGCATCCCCTTTACTAACTCTGCAAGGGACATGTAGGTCTGAGGGCATCACAGAGTTGGGGTACTCCATCAGAGATGTACTAACCATCCACTGTACTCATGGCTAAACTATCATCTGATTTTCTTTTTCTTTGTGTCTGTGTGTGTGTGGAGTGGGGGAACAGCCCCTGAAAATCTCACCCTCCTGCCTCTACCTCCTAAGTGCTGGGATTAGTGGCATACACCATGTCCGGTTCAAGTGCAGGGGAGTGGGGTTCATGGCTGTGAGACAAACACTTAACAACTGAACTACATCCATAGTCCCTATCTGGCTGGTGGACCAAGAGGCTAAGAAAGAGGAGCTATAACAGTTGATAGAGATAATTAATAGTTTAGCCTGAAGAACTAGGCATGCTGATGTCCAACGGTGGCAAGGAAGGGAATGGCTGGAACTCAAAGGAGCTATAGGGTATCTGTGCTTCTGAATCTATTAATAAGGGCACCTGTGGCAGCCAAGGAGCCCGACTGTGTATCTGGTCCTGGTGTGGTGGCAGTGGATGATTGTGGATCTACTGGAGCTGGCCACAGCAACCTCTGCAAAGAATGCTCTCATGCTCTAATATCTATGCTAACTGAGGCTGCTGACCCTTGCTAATCTCAGTGTGGACTTACTCTCTTTCACTCTGATAATTATCCCAGAGTCCCAGACAAAGCCTCAGAGATCTCAGAGCACTAGAAAATAAAACCTCTATAGCGGGTCCAGACTGATGCTGTGTGGAGAGAAGTTTGGTCTTTATGTACCCCAGACCCTGACTATTGCCAGCATGAAAAGCCCAGAATCACCTCGGCCCACCAGGCAAGGGCTAGCAATCGCCACCTAGCTAAGGAGATGTTTGGAAGTTACCAGGACACAGGAAGGGTCTAGGGTGACCTCCAGCGTGCTTGAGGATCAAGGGTGCTTCAGTCTCGCCTCTGAGTCCCCAGCACTGGGAACAGTACCCTTGGCTCCTGCCACATGGTCTAGCTTTCTTTTAAGGCAGACTACCGGTTGCTTCCCCTTTTGTCTTTTCCAAGACCTGGATGGTCAAGTAAAGTAAGCTTGGTGACCCCTGTGAGCTCAGGAGACAGCTCCAGGAGCCAGTGAGAAGGAAGACTCCTCCGCATGGGGCGGCTTGAGTCTAGCTGCTGCTTTGCAGGCAGTTAGGAGTGGGAGCCGCAGCCGGGACCGAAGAGGTTAACGTGCATCTGCCTCCGAATGTTAATGTGTCTAGGTGATGTCAGTGGGAGCTGGGAAGGAGGGAGTGGGGCGAGCTGTTGGGCTCAGAGGCAGCAGAGGCTGCCAGGCGGCAGAGGAAGACCCTTTTCTGGACTGCAGGGCTGGCTCACGCTCGGGACAAGGCGGTGGCAGGCACTGGAGGCTGCCGCAGCCTGCGTGGGTGGACGGGCGCTCAACTCCAGGGAGCAAGCGACCTGCACTGGCTGCATGGATCTGCAAGCCTCGTTGCTGTCCACTGGCCCTAATGCCAGCAACATCTCCGATGGCCAGGATAATCTCACATTGGCCGGTGAGTCGAGTGAGAGTCCTCCCTCCTCCGGGATGGGTGTGGAAAATAGGAAGGTTTCACCTCCAGAGCCAAACTGCCTAGGAAACTTTATCTTACAGTTCTCAATGCTGAGATCTGCAGTCTGCTTTGCCTGGAAGGGAAGTGGAGAGGAGGGGGACGCTAGCTAGGACAGAAGGGGTAGGAAGGAACAGAGGTGGGGCAGAAGCACATCTAGAAATAACAAGGGTTGGTGGCAATGAGGCGTGAGGCAGACAGGGGAAAGCTTACTGATGAGTCCCAAATATGCTTTTCATGGGGGGGGGGCGGGGGGATCAAGGCTGAAAAAGCAAGCAAGAGAACCGGCGGGTAGCTTGGGAGCCAGCAGAAGCTCTTTGATTCACCTCTACCCTGGGCTCAATCCTCTGGCCTTGCACTGGGGTAATGGGGTCTGAGTGGTCCTTGCTGTCCTCTGGCAGAGGCTGCTGGGAGCAAAAGACATCACAGGGCTTGAGAGGATTAACTTTTATGGTGAATTAAGCTTCTTGACATTTGCAGAAATTCTAGCTTTGAAGGAGAAGGGAGAAAAGGGAAGGGTGAACGGTTTATGTGGAGAAAATTCTCAAGCTTTTAGGGTGTAACACAGCCCCTACTTGGAAAGCCCAGGCTCAGGAGACATGACCCAAGGAAATCCCTGTCAGGAAGCCTGGGGAGGGCTGGGCTGTTGAGCCTAAAACACACCCCACACCCACAGTGACAGTCACTCCTGGGATATGCCTAGGAATCTGCATAAAGCCTTTGGCCAGCTATCTCTGAAAAGATGAGAGTACAAATAAGGAAAACCACACACACACACACACACACACACACACACACACACACCAGCACATTCTTGAATGTCCTTCAAGGTTTTTTTTGTTTTGTTTTGTTTTGTTTTTTGACAAGGTTTCCTGGTGAATCCCAGGGATGTGAGGCTGTTCTCAGCAGACATCTGGGAGTCTTGACCCCTGACCCTCTGAGTAAATGGCTGAAGTAGGTCCTTTGTGTAACAGGTGGGTCTAAGAAATTGGGTAGGAGTATTCACCAGGGAACAGTGGAGGGGAATAAAGGCCAGGGTTAGCAATAGTGTGGGAGGAGAGATGGTAGGAGATGACACAATGACCTCAAGCTGAAATCAGGATCATAAGAGGTCAGCAGGAGTGTTATCCGATGGCAGGTTGTCAGCTTCTAGAGCAGATGACAGGTCACACTTGCTCTTTCTGTCCTCAGGGTCACCTTCTCGCAAAGGGAGTGTCTCCTACATCAACATTATTATGCCTTCCGTGTTTGGCACCATCTGTCTCCTGGGCATTGTGGGAAACTCCACAGTCATCTTCGCTGTGGTGAAGAAATCCAAGCTACACTGGTGCAGCAACGTCCCGGACATCTTCATCATTAACCTCTCTGTGGTGGATCTGCTCTTCCTCCTGGGCATGCCTTTCATGATCCACCAGCTCATGGGCAATGGAGTCTGGCATTTTGGGGAAACCATGTGCACCCTCATCACAGCCATGGATGCCAACAGTCAGTTCACCAGTACTTACATCCTGACTGCCATGGCCATTGACCGCTACTTGGCCACCGTCCACCCCATCTCCTCCACCAAATTCCGGAAGCCCTCTATGGCCACCCTGGTAATCTGCCTTCTGTGGGCTCTTTCTTTCATCAGCATCACCCCTGTGTGGCTCTATGCCAGGCTCATCCCCTTCCCCGGGGGTGCCGTGGGCTGTGGCATCCGCCTTCCAAACCCAGACACTGACCTCTACTGGTTCACTCTATACCAGTTTTTTCTGGCCTTCGCCCTGCCCTTTGTGGTCATTACTGCTGCATATGTGAAAATACTGCAGCGCATGACATCTTCGGTGGCCCCAGCTTCTCAGCGTAGCATCCGGCTGCGGACAAAGAGGGTGACTCGCACGGCCATCGCCATCTGTCTGGTGTTCTTTGTGTGCTGGGCACCCTACTATGTGCTGCAGCTGACCCAGTTGTCCATCAGCCGTCCCACCCTCACATTTGTCTACTTGTACAATGCAGCCATCAGCTTGGGCTATGCCAATAGCTGCCTCAATCCCTTTGTGTACATAGTACTCTGTGAGACCTTTCGGAAACGCTTGGTCTTGTCAGTGAAGCCTGCCGCCCAGGGGCAGCTTCGCACAGTCAGCAATGCTCAGACAGCTGATGAGGACAGGACAGAAAGCAAAGGCACCTGACATTTCCCCTATCCCAAATTATGGGACCCATAAATTGCTAGGGAGGCTTTGCAGGGAGCAGCCAGGTTTTTTTGGGGGGGGATCTTCAAACCTCAGAAATCCCCTTGGCTGAACAAGAAGAAAATGGTGGTTTGACTGGTCTCCATGGGAGCTCTATCTGTTAGCTCACATACATCTTTTTCCCAAGGGAAGAGGTTGAAGGTGCTTAGCTGTAATCAGGCAGGGGTAGGAGGTGGACAGCCGGGCTCTCCCTCTCATCTCTCATTGGTGTGTAAAAAGGCAGCCTTTCTTCCAAGCTGGTGATCATCTCTGAAGCATGCTGTCTCAGCTCCAGCATCCTGTGTGGGTTTCACTTTCTCTCTAGGGGATGCATGTTTACACTGGGGTGGGGCTCTGAGCCCACAGGAGTTTAAAAAACAAAAGAGCCAATGCCCAGTAACTGAGAATGACAAGGAGACCCAGGATAGATGTGGATCTTGAAACTGATAAAGAAGGGGCTTTCACAGTGACAGGGGCTTTCTCTTTACAGGGCACAACTGTCAGTCAGTCCATGGCTGACCCAGAGTGAACATCTATGTATTGTGCGTGTGTTGGGGGTCACTCCAGTGCCTAATATGTTGGCATCATCTTTGTGCTTCAGCTTTCCACACCCACATCAAAATGAAATAAAGGCAAATCTCAACCTTTGTCATTATGGAGGCTCCTTCATAATTGGTTGGGTTTTGGGGACAGTGTTAGTTAGTCCTACATAAGGAAAGAGAGGTCATTTAACTATAGTGTTTGGATCTTGTTTGGGACTGCATTTTTAGGGAGGCTGAAGTAAGGGATCTGTTTTTCTAAACCCACATAGGATTAGTGACATTAATGGAATTACTGTGGATCCACCCAATTGCAGAGTTGCTGCTGGACTCCTTTTATCATCAATGCTGCCCCCTAAGGGCCTCAAGTTCTACCCATGTGACTCCCCCACACCCCACAGCCTGCCTCATGCTGAGTCACCAGTGAAGGTCTGGCTCTTGGGGTTGGGGGAGGGCGGAGTCTCTGTTTGCCACAGCTCAGATCTACTGAGCACCTGAAAAGCAGATGGCAGCTCAGGCCGCTGGGAGGCAGTCATGGCTGGCTGCGGCTTCTTAGCTCTGTCATCAAGAGTCATGGGCGTGATGCTCAGCAAATGTTAATGAGAGAGCAGGAGCAACTTGTCTAGAGGCATTCCCGGAGGCCAACCCTCCCTTTGCTGGCCACTTTGCCCTTATACTTCATTGCAGAGTTAGAATACTTTAGGCAGCCTCCTCAGGCGTTGGGAGAGCAGTATTTCCTGACCTGAAGTGAGTGCTCCTTCCTCCTAACAGTAGGACCTCTAGCCTCCACAGGCAAGCTTCAAGTGTAGTTTAGGTGCAAGTCTAGTGGGGAAAAAACAAGATTCTCAGGGCAAAATGTATGTGATGCATGTGTGTAACCCCAGCACTAGGGAGGGCAAAGCAGGGAGACTTAAAGAGTTCAAGGGGCACCTGAGAAGTGGCACGGTGGGTAAAGGGCTTATCACACACATCTGGTCTCCCAGGACCCACACAGGTAACTGTGGAAGGAGCGAGCTGACTCCACCAAGCTGCCCACCACACCCTGCACCCACACCCATACCAATAATAAAGTTCAAAGGAAAAAAGAGTTCAAGTGTCAAAGAGGGGTGGAAAGAAAAGTAGGAGCTAAAGGACATGGAGGAGTTCTAGGAAATGATGTCTTTGGGACATGACATGGTCATTGTACCCATGAACTCATGACAGCTGTGATCACTGCCTAGGATCAAGTTCACAAGACCCATCAGCAGCCCAACAGGCAGCTGTTAGTCAGACTTTCTTTTATTTATTTATTTTTTCAAGACAGGGTTACTCCGTAGCTTTGGAGCCTGTCCTGGAACTCGCTCTGTAGATCAGGCTGGCCTCGAACTCACAGAGATCTGCCTGCAGTGCTGGGATTAAAGGCATGCACCACCACCAAACTGGCCAGTGCACACTAGTCAGATTCAGTGGGTCTGGGGGAAGGGGGAAGTAGGGCATGGGAGGGTGAGTTTGGGGGTACAGATGATCATGATGCATTGCTTACACATATGAAATTGTCAAAGGATAAAAAATATATTCTATTAAAAAAAAAAAAAAAAGAGTTCCAGGACATCCTACGCTACAAGGCCCTGCCTAAGGAGAAAGAGTGCAGTGTTATATTATGATTTATTAAAGCCACTGGAGATCGGAATAGCAAAGCAGCCATACTAGTTATCTACAGAAGCTAGGTGGTGGTACACACCTCTAATCCAAGGACTCAAGATTAAGAGGTAAACGTATGTTAGTTCAAGGCCACACTGACTACACAAAATTGATTCAGTCTCAAAAGAAACAGCTCTCACAAAGGTGATCTCAGCACCTGGTATCACAGGCCTTTAATCACAGCCCTAGGGAGCTGGAGATCGACGTGATATGGCTGGGCCGACAAAGGAATATAAGGAGGAGGAGACAGGCTATGAGGGCATTTTTTGCCTCTCAGAATTCTCAGAAACAGGATTGATATTTCAGCTGAGTAGAGGTAAGATCTACTTACTGGCTTGGCTGCTTTGCTTCTCTGATCTTCAGTTTGAAGCTTGAACCCCAATATCAGTCCATGGTTCTTTTATTGTTCATGTTACAAAGAAGAGTCTTACAGAAGCCTCAAAGTAAATTTTAGGAAGAGCAATTCTAGTCCACCAGTGGAGAAGGCTTCCCTCAACTGAGCTTGTCTATGAAGAGATTTCCTGTGACCTCCACACCCATAGCCCTCCAAGGAAACTGGGGACCAGGTCAGACGGCCTCTCCTAGGAGTATCTGTGACTGAGCCAACAGCCAACAAGGGTAGATACCTCAAAAGCTCCAAGGAAAGGCCTTCCTACCTCAGACTGTTAATCAGACAGTGAAGAGATGGAAATGGAAGCAAAGTATGCCACTCTGAGAGTGAGTGGGTGGTGATGTAAACGGGAGAAAGGGCAGAGGATGGGAGTGGTCTTGGACTATGGGACAGCACTGAGGAGGGTGTCAGGAAGGCACGGAGAGATGGGAGTGTGGAGACTGTCATCCACTCCCATCTCCCTTGCCTCATCAGTGACCTGGGCAGCTCCTGGGTAAGGGTGAGCTTAGGCAGCCAGGTGTGGTAGCATATACCCCGAACCCCAGCATTTAGGAGGCTGAAGCATGAAGATCATGAGTTTGAAGTCAGCCTGGGCTACTATGGTAAGTCTTTTTATGAAAAAAAGAAGGAGAAAAAGAAGAGAGGACGACGGGGAGGAGGAGGCAGAGGAGGAGAAGAGAAAAATACAGTACAATGTGCAACAGTTAGGATCAACTTACTGACATTGTTGGTAGGAATGGAGGACTGTGGGAAGGCTACTAGGTAGGTTCAAGGAATGAGTGCAACTTTACCGTCTTTCCTTTCAACTCAGCACTCGGCCAGCCAGAACTGGGGTGGGCACTGGAAGATGAAGCGGCTTGCCCCTTCCTTTTCACGCCACATACCTCATAGCTTGTCTGTCTCAGGGACCTCACCACATTATCTCCCCAGCCCCAGAGAACTTTCTACACTGCTTCTGTAACTCTCCTCAGGAAACATCTCTCCAGTTGTGAAGAAGACCTTTCTAACTTCTCTGTGGTAGAGGAATTCTACAACCTAGCTTGTGACCACACAGCATAGCACTCACAGGTACAAAAAGACCACCGGGAAGGCCCTCTGCAGGGACTATCAGCAGACAGCAAGAGCCCCATGCAACAGGACTTGCAGTTACTCTTTTGTCTGTGCATCTGCTATTGATTGTATCATTTTGTGTGTATGTGTTGTGTGTCCATGCACATACATATGTTTGTGGAATCCGAGAACAACTTTTGGTTCTCCTTTTCCACCATGAGTTCTAGGAATTGAACCTCAGAAAGACAAGCTCCTCTATCCAATGAACCAGCTTTCCTGCCCCTTTCGTTTTTGTCTTTAGTTTTGGTTTTTTGTTTGTTTGCTTGTTTTTGTTTTTTCAAGACAGGGTTTCTCTGTATTGCTTTAAAGCCTATCCTGGAACTAGCTCTGTAGACCAGGGTGGCTTCAAACTCACAGAGATCTGCTTGCCTCTGCCTCCTGAGTGCTGGGATTAAAGGCCTGCACCACCAATACCTGGCTTGGTTTTTTAAATTATAGTGAAATGCATACATTGCTACTTTGACCTTTGACCTTTTTTTGCTTGTTTATGTTTTGTTTTGCCAGGCAGGGTTTCTCTGTCTGGAAAACTCCTGTCCTGGAATGCACTCTGTAGGCTGTCCTCCAATTTAGAGATCCACCTGCCTCAGCCTCCTGAATGTCAGGATTAAAGGAGTGCACTACCACGTAGCTTCCTTTGACCATTTTAAGTGTATAGTACATCTACATTATTGTGTAGCGGGCTGGGAGGATGGTTCAGACAGAGAAGTGCTTGCTGTACAAGCATATAGACCTGAGTTCCAGTCTTGAATCCATGTAAAAAACAAAAAATAACCCAGTCAGGTGCAGTAGTGTGCACCTGCACCCTAATGCTGGGGAGATAGAAAGAAGAGTCCCTGGGGCTCACTGGCTAGCTGGTTTAGCCTAATCAGTGAGCTCCAAGCCAATGACACATTCCAGTTCCCAAATCAGGGTGGGATGGATGGGTGAGATGGCTTAGTGGATGAGGTGCTTTGTACACACATAGTGATAAATGTAAAAACATAAAAATAAAAATGCGTAGGCATGGGTGGTTTCTAAGGAACAATTCTAAGTTTGCCCCCTGGCTTCCATTTTCACCCACATGCACATATGCACTCACACACACAAAATAAATAAATACAAGCTTATTTCTTTCTCTCCTGCCTCCAGCTCCTGGAAATCACTGTTCCATGGATTTGGCTATTCTAACGGCTTCCACAATGGATCTGTATACTGCTTATCCACGATTCGTAGTTGGTGTATTCCTCTTAATGTGATGTCCTAAAGTCCATTAATATTGCTGTAGGTGTCAGAACCCTTTGGGCCAACCACTATTCTACATGTAGTCACTACACCATGTTTATCTGCAGTAACTGATGGACACTCTGTGTCATCATCTGGCTATTGTGGGAAGATAATGCTCCTGTCAACATGTCTGCATTAATGGTGGAGTCTGGGCTTTTAGTTCCTTTGGGTATATATACCCAGAAGTGGAACGGAAGAATCTTATGGAAGTTCAATGTTTAACGTTTTGAAGACCTACCAAGCTACTTCCTGCAGCTGCTGCATCATTGTCCTACATTCTCATCGACAACTACAATGGACCCAATTCTCCATACCTTTATACTGGTTTTGTTCTTTTTCCTCCTCTTCTCTCTTATTCTCTACTTGGAACCTGTTCAAATAGGTGTGAATCTGTCTTTGCTGTCTCATCATTAGTGATGTTGAGCACCCCTTCATCTGCTCAGCCTTCATTTGTATAGCTTCTTTAGAGAAGTTGTCTTCAAGTCCTTTTTAAATTGGGTTGTTCTTTTGTTATTGTTAGAATGATATTTTACTCAATTCAAATTAGTAATAATTGGTTCTGATGCCTTGTTATTAGGAAAAAATAGATTAAAAAAAAAACAAAAACAAAAACCATAAGTTCTTTCTCCTTTG